AAAAACATACAACAGTGAGGATTCGCTGGTGGTCACCCACCCAACTACTAACTCACCGGCGTGTGGCTTAAGTACGGCTGAGCGGACGGGAAGCCCTGTTTTCCACACCCTATGGTCGTATGTACTATGACATGTGCAGGACACAGTGATAAAGAGATATGATAGTTGGATGGTTGATGAGGGTGCTAAGGTGTACCTAGGTACCTCGCTCGCTGTCAAGATCGCAAGCGTCCAATGATCTCATTGGCTGGCAGCTCATTTCGCACTAGTCTCTCCTACCGTGCCACGTGATTCACCAGTCGTTTGGGCTCCTTGATGCTCTTTTTCTTCGACAACTATTGATATCACTCTCCCGTCGGCTTACGGGGAGTAACACTGCAATGAACAATATAAGGCCGTCTATTCCTCGTTTGTCTGCCTTGCTTCGCAAGAAACCGTTTCCCATGCCTTCTCCCGGGCCACCTTTACCACCCGGCATACTTGTTGATGAAGAGATCTCGCCAGTATACGATTCCAAGTACTTCTACCCAGCGAAGCCTGGAGAAGTACTCGCCGATCGTTACCAACCCTTGGTTAAGGTCGGCTGGGGCATGTCTTCAACAGTATGGCTCGCGCGTGATTTGCAAGGGTCGTTCAATTATTTCTGTTCAATTCGAAGCTCTCTCTCTCTAAGAAAACATATAGGCATATCGAAGAGGCAGAGAACATTGTGGCATTGAAAATTGTCAATAACAATGCGAGTTCCGCTGGTCATGAGCGGGAGGTTGAAGAGCACATTTCCGCAGCAGACCCATCACACCGCGGTCGCTCGCTCGTCCGAACGTTACTAGAATCTTTTGAAGTTAAAGGTCCAGGAGGTTCTTATCCTTGTCTCGTGTATTCGCCTATGAGGGAGCCATTGTCGATGTATCGATGGCGCTTTGGCGATAGAAAGATGCCACTACCCCTTATCAAAACGTACATTCGTGCTCTTCTCACGGGGCTTGATTATCTTCACAAAAAGTGCAGGTTAGTCCATACAGGTAATTATTTCATCTTCGGCCTTACTTCCGTCGGTGATACTAAGCCCGGGCGGCTGCCTAGATCTAAAGCTTGAAAACATCATGGTCTCATTCGAGGATCCAACCGTGCTTGCTGATTTCATGGATTCTCAGCTTGAAAAGCCTATGGCTTTCAAGATTGATTCGACGGGACGACCAGTGTATCAGTCCCATAGTGACTTCGGGCCACTTAAAAGCCTGAGAAGTATACCACAGCTTGTCGACTTTGGCTTGGCAACCAGACTCGAGGAAGACGACGACTGGGGCGTCTGGCCTATTCAGCCAGACCACTATCGAGCGCCAGAGGTGATACTGGGTAATGGATGGCAAATGCCTGCGGATGTTTGGAATCTCGGTGTTCTGGTACGTCCCGTTGTCCTCCAAAGTTGTTATATCTACTAATGCCAGACCAGTTATGGGATATGATCGAAGGCAAAGAGCTATTCCGGCATATCTATGATCAACAAGGTCGCTACGATGCTAAACTACACATCGCCGAAATAATCGCGTTACTCGGCCCACCCCCTCCAGAGATCATACAAAGGTATCAATACATGCGAGAGTACTCGTGGCCGGAACCTGTCAGAAGAGAAGACGACAGAGTATGCGAGACCGCAGAGGAGTACTTCTGTGGGCCATTCTTTGACAACAATGGTATTACTGGGTTTCCTATCTAGGACAGATTTTTCTCATGACTCACGAAATATCTTAGGTCGCTTTCTCTATGAAGAACTGATCCCCGACCGGAAACTAGGCGACAGTGTTTCCTTCCTTGAGGGAGACGAGAGGGAAGCGTTTCTGGATCTCGCCAAGTCAATGCTTGTCTGGCATCCAGATGCGAGAAAAACAGCAGGTGAACTGGCGGGGCATCCTTTTCTTCAACCAAAGCAAACAAGCGCCTGAGTTATGCGAGCATTTGTTAGCGGAATGACTCGAAATCGTGGTCGATCCAAGTTCGGCGGTGCCCCCTTAACGCGAGACACCACATCGCCACAGGTCGAGACGTCCAAAAGGCATCTTGACAGCCAAGTAAGGGTCGAAAGAGAACTTTCCGTAGTCAATAATACAACCACAATTTTGAATTCATAAAATTTAAATAAAAATCGCAAGAACATACAACAATGAGGATTCGCTGGTGGTCACCCACCCAACTACTAACTCACCAGCGTATAGCATGTGCGGTCAATAGTTGAGTGGGTGTCGCTAGGGTGAGAGATGGGTCGAAGGGGCATAAGTGACCACATACGTACCAGGCGGGCCCGCCTGACCTCTCAGTAGGGCGACCCCAATCAGATATGAATCCATGTGTGCCTTATTTTTTTCATTACCTTAGTTACATCCATGGATGGAACTCGGGATACACAGTTGAATACGTAATAATAGACATATAATAACACTACCTAACTATGTAGTTGTCAACATGACATTGATCCTATAGTATCCGTTTCCCACAATTTCGAAATCAAGATCATCCAACTACAACGATGTGCTGGATAACATATTTTTCCTTCGGCTTGGCGATGATGACCTCGATGATCATGATGCGATCCGATTGCGGAGGAGAAGAAAAAGGCTGCTTATCACTGCGCTCCCACCAGAGGTGATAGATGAAGTCTTTCAACATCTATCCCTAGTCACAAGCATGTCTAGCTCTAAGCTGCATGAGATTCTATCGACAATTCAGTTTCATATTGAAAGCACTCCCTTTCCGGTACCCATACTCCGGGCCAGACTGGTCAGATAGCATCCGGATCCGAGATCAGCTTCTTCGAAACTCGAGGATGAAGGATCTAGATCCCGAGGCTGGCTCTATTGTCTCTCTTATCGAAAACTCCACCCACGAAAGGAATTTAAAGACCGCGATATATGGACTCAAGATCCCCAATGTCTATGGCCGGGAGTTATTATACTTTATCCGTCTATCAAGCTCTCATCAGCAAGAATAATTACACTTCTTAAAGAGCTTGATAAGGCAAACGACGCAAACAGCTTAGGCCCCGATATCAAGAAGCATATCCCTCCGAACTGGCATCATTGCATGTTTTCGGATAATAAGCTATCATATACGCTCTCAATCACTCTATCCTCTAATGAGATGCGTAGTCTTGGGTTTCATTTTGACTACCTGATTGATATACATCATTCTGGGCTTGAAGAATCTGAAAGGAGGATAATGCTTTGTCCTCACGTGAATGCTTATAAGCAAATAGAACTTAACGACAACCTCCCCTTATGGAGAGCGGATCATGTGGTATCCGTCCTACTATAAGGGTATGGGAGTTACCAAATGTCTCAAGATATTAAGTTCAATTTGTGAGGAAATTTCGCGATCTATGTCAACGGCCAACGGATAATCATTGTTGGCAACTATTCCTACCTAAGAATTACGATTGCAATCCGTATCCATATGAGGATGATTATGCCCGCTACAATCGTATCGATCGTATCGTTAATGTAGTAGCTCGTTAATGCGGGTGTTCCAATTATGACATGAATCTGAACCTGAAATCCAGAATTCGAATTCAGGTGACCCTAGAAGCCACTGACCGGTCCCTTGCTCACGTCGATTGACATAGTCGTCTTGTAGAGTAGCGTAATTAAAGGGTGGCAACTAGTCTAGGACCACTTGGCGCTCTTGGTTGTCTTGATGCTGTGCCAATCTCGTGACAATATTTCGCATGAATTTTCCATTGAACGGATTCAAAAGTACAATATTATAGGTAATTCGAAGGGGCAGCTCCTGGATATCGTCTGGTTCCTATTTTAGGCGTTTCTAGGCCCGCTTCACTAGGTTTTGTTTCGTGTCATTCGGAATCAGAACGCGATAGTTGTCAATCGTCGTTTCGATATCAGTGAGGATATTGTGGCACATCCTTACTATTTTCTGCTGCTTGGCGTCTTATTGGTTGCTTAGCTCCTTACTAACCAAGTCAATTTCGACATATTGTACCACGAATGATAGGTCTCTGATTCTACCAAGCATTGGGTAAGAGCTAGAAATAGAATCAATGCGAAAGTAAGCCTACTCATCGAAAATGGCCTTGAAGTGGGCAGGCGCGTCGACAAACTTCTTTCGAATCTTGATGTCGACCGTAATCGCGGCGAACCCGAAACTCACCTCGAATATTCACGGCGGGAATACGAATATCCTAGGAAGAATGGAAGCCACTTCAATCTAACACGTCGACGGGGCGTGGAAAGGGAGAGAACGCCCAGCCTCCTGCAAGGCGGGGGGTGTGGGGCGGGAAGGGCGACACGTCGCTCTAGCTGCAATCTTGAAGAATCAACCCGCTATTGGCCTGTGAATTGGTTTAACTGGAATAGGTCGTTGCTAACATTAAGGAATGCAAGAGTAATATCCATATGATACCATTATTTCATACCCACGTGAGGTCTAAGATCTAAGATCTTAAAAATAAAGTGCAACTCTATATACTCCCTCCATGTTCACTAGTATATACTAGTGAAAGTAAATCTGTGCCCCTTTCATCGCCCCACCCAATACGGGCTTATTCGTCTCATTCCCGCTCCTCGGCAAAGCAGCTGAAGACCCGGAATTTGCTGATCAAGACCTAAGGAGTAATCAACAATTCCTGTTTCGTGCATATTTAGGTATTGAACCATGATCTTATACTACCTTTATATCGTTGTTGTCTTCATTAGGACCCACCCGGGCCCTTCCGTTTGATATATTTTGGTTAGTCTTGATCGAAAGGTCCGGAGAAGCGCATACGGGTGCCGTTCAGCTGGATTCAGTAGTTTAATTTAGTCAGGATCGATATCTACCTATATTGTACTCCGTAGTCCGTACTCTGTAGATTAGTGCCTCTACCAATAAAGGTTATCAATGTACTCGTTCCAGCTAAGCAAGGATCAGAACCTCCTGACCAGTCAATTTCGGGTACCGATTGCCAATGCGGGCGGCGAAGTGTGCCACGCGGGACTTTGGTCAACATGGATTTACTGCTCTCCACAACGTAGATATACAACCTATCGCCTATTTTACTTCTGTTTCGAAGATATTATCTAATTAAAAAGCACACCCATGAATAACTAGTTACAGATCAGGTTGCCAAAGTACGATCATATAAATCCCTACGATATAGGTAACTGGACTCCGGAACCTCGGGAGTTCACCCCCGGAGCCCTGGCGCTCCCGGCACTGAGTCATCAACTATGGACTGGGGGTGAATAGCCAGGTAATCTTTTACCGGCAGTAACAACCATGTGGCGAGAGATCTACGGAGACGTCAGGGTTTATGGTATGTCAGATGGATGGGACTGAAGAGTCGCAAAAGCTAAGTTCTAGACTATGGAATATGACAGGCCAATTGGACTGAAGTCCCTAGTGGGTGGCTTTGTTATCACTAGTGCCGATCAGCTGAGTACTAGCTTAAAATTCAAATATAGCTGGACTAATACAGTCCATAGTAGTATAACATATTCACAACGAAGGGATTTTCACTCGGCAGGAAGCTGATGATGTCACGCCCTTGCATATCCTGTTTCCACTACCAATGATTGATTTTGTTCTCGATCAGTGCAATAGGTAGCGAATAAACTACATATATTCCTATCTTTCCCTTTTCTCTTGCCTTTTGCATCACTCAATCGACGTTTCGCATACTCGTTTGAATCCTTTGTAATCGAGCAGACAGTAATACAACACTTTGGGGTTGAGGCATTATATACTTTGCTGCCTCTGCCTTACCATGACCCTGAAGAGGCACAGCCAATCGGCTCATATGAGTGCAACACTCCAACTCTTGGGGCGCGTGCGTGATTTGAGGAACAAGAAGCGAAACATTGTTCTCAACGGCAACGACCTCGACATTGCTTCCATAGTGGCCGTCGCCCGTCATGGAGTCCTGCCTACTATCAGCACGGACGAGCGGCTTGTCAGGCGGCTCGAGGTCTCAGTTGACTCTCTAGCCGATGTCATCTCTCGGAAATGTGTCATCTACGGCGTCAACACTGGTTTCGGCGGCAGTGCTGACACTAGAACGAATGAACTCATCGACCTACAGACGCATCTGCTCCAATTTATCCAAAGCGGAATTATCACTGCCGCCGACAAGGATCCGGCCAGCAACTCGGAGCGGGAACCATCCCACGTGATGCCTCTCGCGTGGGTTCGAGCTGCCATCGTGGCCCGAACCAATCAGAATCTTAGGGGTCACAGTGCCATCCGCAAGTGCGTGCTCGATAGCCTTATTGATCTACTGCACAACGGTATTGCTCCCCTAGTTCCACTTAGGGGGACCATTTCTGCATCTGGAGATCTTATGCCCATGGCGTATATTGCTGGAGCAATCATGGGCAACCCAGATGTCTTTGTCCAGGTGGGTAAGGGTGCGCAAGCCATAGTTGTGCCTTCGTCTGAGGCCTTGAAAATGAGCGGGCTCTCCCCATCGGGGCTCGGCCCAAAGGAGGCACTCGGGCTAATAAACGGCACTGCTCCTTCTGTGGCATTGGCAAGCTTGGCATTTCATGATGCGCAGCAGCTTGCCTTGTTGTCTCAAATGTTGACAGCTTTTGCTTCCGAGTGCTTGGCCGGAAATGTAGAGTGGGCTCATCCATTTGTTCACGCTACCCGACCTCACACTGGGCAAATTGAGGTGGCAAGCAATATCCGGCTCTTCTTGAAGGGCTCCAAATTTGTTGTTGGCTTGGAGTCGCAGCAGGCATCCGGCGACGGACTCTGCCAAGATCGGTATTCGACAAGAACAGCTCCTCAATGGATTGGACCTTATATTGAGGACCTTCTCTTGGCGCAACATCAGCTTGAAGTGGAGCTCAACTCCACATCAGATAATCCTCTGGTGGATACAAGTAAGCAAGACGATAGTTCTACTGGAAAAGTGTACTCTGGTGGAAATTTCCAGGCAGTTGCCGTCACGTCA